AGCATCGCAGCAATTGTCAGTTGTTGGCCACAGTAAATGTCCCAGACTGAGCATGAAATTTCCCAGTATTTCATTGACATTTATTTCCCAGTATTGCCCGAACGCCTGCACCAGCGCAATCTTATGACGATATTTCTTTGGGGCTTTGCACTGCATATTTGTATTATTTGTGTTATATGCGGAATTTGCGCTAAAGAGTAGATTTTATTATTATTTTTTTTTTTATAATATTTTAAGTGAATTTCATGTCAATTCAATTGGGGCTGTAATTGAAATAAGCGCAGATAAAAAAATCTCCTAAAAAGTAAAAAAAAAAAAAAAAAAATAGAAGCGAAACGAAGCTTATAATTCTCAATATATTTTGGATAAATGCAGAAATACTTAATCTTGCAAAAGTCATATATAGTATAAAGGGTACTTCCTATGCTTTTCTTGATATATTTACACCTATTTCTTATTATCTTATTCTCTTCTGCGTTTTATAGAAATTTGTTTATAGATACTCTAGTTTGCAGTTTATATAAAAAAAAATATTATCATATATATTTTATTTGAGAATTTTTTGTTGTATTTAAATACTTTTTGAATTGAAAAGACGAGTTGATATAGTCATGCTTGTCCGTCTGCTCGTCTGCCCGTCTATATGTCTGTCTGTCCGTCCATCTGTTCGTCCAACCGCCCTCCGTCCCTTCTGTCTCTATGTGAACTAGTCTCTTAGTTTTTAAGCTTTCGTCTTGAAACTTTGCCTAGGCCCGTCTTCCTGCTGCAGACAGTAGATATGTCGAATTCCTCCGAATCAGACCAATATAACATAAGAAAACTGTTTTCATCCTCAACATATCTTTTATTATGATCTCACCTTATATGCAAAAGCTTACCTAGGTTCTTGTATGTCAAAGTGTGCGGTATTCCAAGATATTTCCATCCAATTCAGCTTTTACGGACCTTACTATGCAAACATATCTGCAAATGGGAAATGTCTTGAAGGTTATTTCATCTTCGGGATGCCGAAGACGTCCTTACTCTCTCACTTTTCCTTATTTATTTTTATTTGGGATTATTTTTGGCGTTGCTCGTAGAAACAATGTTTTAATGAAACATAATAATTATAATAAAATTGGTAATAATAATAAAAATATTAACAAGAAAAATAATAATTATTAACAACGATAATGAGTAATAACAATAATAATATTAACAATAATAATGAGTAATAACAATAATAATAATACTAACAATGATAATGAGTAATAATAATAATGATAATAATAATAAGAAAAATAATAATAATAATAATAATAATGATAATAATAATAATAATAATAATACAAATAATAATAATAATAATAATAATAATAATAATAATAATAATAATAATAATAATAATAATAATAATAATAATAATAATAATAATAATACTAATACTATACTAATACTAATACTAATACTAATACTAATACTAATACTAATACTAATACTAATACTAATACTAATACTAATACTAATACTAATACTAATACTAATACTAATACTAATACTAATACTAATACTAATACTAATACTAATACTAATACTAATACTAATACTAATACTAATACTAATACTAATACTAATACTAATACTAATACTAAAACTAAAACTAATACTAATAACAAAAACAATAATACTAATACTAATAACAATAATAAACTAAGAACTCCGCGTCCTTCCATATCATATAATATAAGGAATAGAAATAGAAATCCTCGCGTTGCCCCCGCTTGGCCTCATATCTTTGTGCTTTGCTCTTGTGTTGTTTTTCTTTCTGCTTTTTTCTTATATATACTGGTTGTTTTTCATATTATTTCCGCTCTTGTGGCATGTGGCATGTGGCAGGCAAGTCTCCCGGGGGCTTATGTTCCTGTTTCCGGCTAGTCAGAAAAACTTTGCCAGCTACCTGCTCCAAAAACTTTTCGCTTTACCAAAAACTTTTCTTCGCTTTTCTCTTCTGTTTTCTCGCCTGCCCATTTTTCTATTTCTCTTCCTGTTTTTTCCTGATTTCTGGCTTGCTTTGAAGCAGGGGGGGGGGGGGTGGGTGGATAAGGGTAACCACAAAAAATAATTAAAATTCATTCATTTGATTTGCAGCTGTGTGGGCGCAGGGTGAAAACTTGCCCCTTCAACACGCTGCAGCTGACGGCTGCCATTTTGTGCGAGGCGAAAAACAACAGCAGAATATAATAAAGGCGAAAAACTGTGTGTGGGGGTGGGCTGGAAAATGGGAAAAACTTTTTGCAACAAACTGTAGCAGAATTAATTAAGTTTTCGTACGCATGAAAATTGTATTAACAACGCGCAGAGCGGCCGACAGGTAATCGAGTGGCGGTGGGGGAGGGGTACCGTATAGGTAGGCAAGGAGGGTGGGGGGTGGTGGGAGGTGCTCAGTGTCGGACACTGGCGTTGTATGTCATTAATAAAATTAACACCAGCAGACACATGTGACACGGAACAGCTTGACAGAGCGGTTCCAGGAGAGATAAAAAGTGAGAGGGGCAGGAAGGCGGGGAGAGGCAGCTCTCAGAAGAGCATTGAGCGGGGGTGTGGTTGGGGGGGTGGTTGGGGCTAGCTGCAGCAACTGACACAGCAGCAGCGCAAAGAGCAGAGCAATTAAGTAACCTGCCAACAAAACAGTTGACACTGCAACGGCCAGAGCATACAGAGCGGGGAGGAGTGGGAGGGGTGGCTAGATTGGGGGGTGTGGCAACCGGCAACTGGCGACTTTTTGGGGGTGGCTGGCGAGCTTTTGGACTAACGAAAAAATATGCTTTACAGACGCCCCCACAACAATGACATTGATTGCTCAGCTTTTAGCCAGCTTTGCTGTTGGTAGAAGGAGGGGAGGGGGGGGGGGGGGAGAGTGGGTAGGGTAGGGTGGCTTTGGGATGCTGAGCAGAGCAAATGGGTTAAGTGCTGCGTCGCTGCTGCTCTTGCAGTCGCAGTCGGCGTCGCCGCTAGCAGCGCTAATAAAATGAATGATTCATGCGCAGGCCACACACACACACACACACACACACAGACACAGAGACGACTTGAAGCTGTAGCCTCGGCTTGGAGTCGCAGGCGTAGGCGCAGCAGGAGAACGAGGCGTTTATGTTAACAAATTAAAAGCAAATTGGCCGCCGTTGTGTCTGCCGCTCGCATCGGGCTATAGCTGGCTCGCTCGCACCCGGGCCGAGTGCAGGCTGCAGCTCCCAAGGGTCCAGAGCACACACATTTTAATTGAAAAGAGTGCCAAAATAAAAAAATACAAATATATACATATAAAGTAAAGCCAAATAGTTAAAATGTTAAGAAACGCGCAAGAAACGCGCGCGTTTTTCTTAGGCTGCTTGTGTAGATATAGATGTGGGTGGGTTGTTGGGGGGGTGAGGGGGCGTAGAAAATATCGCTTGCTAATTAATTGTTAACGAATTTTCATTTTCTATTTGGCGCTGCGAAATTGCCATTTATGGTTATTGGAAGCAGCAAACGTAGCGCAGCGCAGCGCAGAGGGACTGCTTAAGGGCGTGTGTTTGTGTGTGTGCGTGGGTCGTGGGTCGTGGGTCGTGTGTCGTGTGTGGGGGGGGGGGGGGGTCGAATTGAATGCGCCGCGTCGACGCTGGCTGAGAGTGGAGCATAATAATTTGATGTGGCGCAAATTGAAAAATGCTGCATAACTCCGCCCTTGGAGAAGTTGCACACACACACACAAGTACGCACGCACACTTGCAGCCAAAAGAAAATTGAAAACTCTTCAAGTCGTTTTTGGCAATGGCGCCTCAGCAACTGCAAAAATTCCCAGTATTCATAAAGCAGCCAAACAGCCAATGAAAGTGCCCAGACGATAGCTGTTTGTCTCGCTCGCACTCAAGCCGGCGACCAGTGACTCCATATTGAAAATGGCCAGGCACAAGCACACACTCACACACAGGCAAGGCAGCAGTTTTTTTTTAATGAATTACCCAGGGACGACGCCACAGCGTTGGCAGCAGCAGCAGCAGCAGCGCAGCAGCAGCGGCAGCAGCAAGTTGATCAAAATTGAAACAGGCGACGCTGCGCATATAAAAATTAAGTGGTTGTTGCTTTTTGATGAATTTCCAGCTCGCTCGCACACACACCGACACACCGACACACCGACACACCGACACACACACACATACACAAGCGCGCACACCCGCTCACACACTGAAAAGCGAGCGCAACAACATGGCAACAATCTCTGCTTGCGCTTGACTGCGCTGCCGCTGCTCGTTTTGGTTGGTGTTGGTGCGGTGGTTGTGCCCTGGCTGTCTGGCTCGCTCTTTTCGGGGCGCTCTCTCGCTCTCTCGCTGGCGCAGACGTTGACGCTGACGCAGCCGAGCGTGAAACTTTTGGTTTCCTCGCTTGGCGCGTCGTCAGCGGCGCTCAGTTCAAATTGAATTTTCATTGCGAGCGTTTGCGTCGTCTGCCGCTGTTAGCCGCTGTCGCACACACACATACACTCGCACACACAAACTCGCACCCTCTCACTCGCTCTCGCCCACACTCCCTGTCTGTCCATATATTCGCACACACACGCACACGCACACACACGGCTGAAACTATAAATTTGAGAGTCGCGCTCAGTGTGCTGTGTGTTTTGTTTTTGCATTTTTGCACGCCGGCCGACGGCGAAACGCAACTCTGTGTGTTCCATCAAATTAAATATATATATCCATATATATATATATATGTGTGTGTGTGTAGATAAATGTTTATTGTTTTTTTTGTGGGGGCACGTTTAACTGCAACTAACGGCAAACGGCGCCCAGATGGGACAAGTGCATACACGTGTGTCCAGTGTTAAGTGCGTGTCCGTGTGTTGAACAACTTTAAGGCGTGGGCCATAATGGTACTAGAGCAACAACAACAGCCAACAACAGCAACAACACGAACAAGCGCAACAACAACGGAGAGCAAAAAGCTCAGTAACAATAACAATAACAATAACAATAATAACAATAACAACAGCAGCAGCAGCAACAACAAGAACTTCATCTTCAAGCAGGAGGACAACAACAGCTGCGATCCAACGGATTTTAAGCGGCAACGAACAAGTCACAGCTCGAGTCACAGCTCGAGTCACAGCTCGAGTCACGGTCATAGCCTGCACAGCCATTTGGCCGCCACGCCGCCGCAGCTGCAGCAACGCTTGAGCGGCGCCTCCGCTCCACATAATCCAGCTGCAGCCGCTGGCAGCAGCAACAGCAGCAGCAGCAGCAGCAACAGCAGCGGCAGCGGCAGCATCACCGCCTCCGTCGCCATGCCGTCGGAGGGACTGCATCCGACGGCCGCTTTGCAGCTTTATGCGGCCGCCGCACAGCTGGCGCCCGGCGGCGTGCGCGTCCCACCGTGGGGCTCCTTTCTGCAATTCAACATGCCCAGCGTCTTTGGGCCGAACGGTTCGTTTTTGGGCCGTCCACGCTTCGAGGCAACGGCCGGCGGACATCCCACCACAGCCGCTGCAGCAGCGGCGGCTACCCAAATGGCCGCGGTCAATGCCAGCAATGCGTTCGCCAATCTCACCGGGCTGAGCGCCGCGGCGCTGCGCAATGTCAGCGCCGCCCAGACGACAGCCGTCGCCGCCGTCGCCAGCACCGTGGCCACCATACAGCATCGCCTCATGATTGGCAACCGGCAGAGCCTGCCGCCGGCGGGTCCGCCCAGCGAGGGCTCCAACGAGGACGGCGGTAAGTGCATAGACTCGGCTTGAATCGGAGCAGTAAACATATATATATGTTGGTCTTTCGTTGGGTTTCTAGCGACGATTTACTCTTGAGCTGATATCGCCGGGATATAGCAGAGGATCCCAGAGCTAACATTCCATCTTCGAGATGATACAGCTTTTTGCTATACTTATGCACATTAGATCCAGTTCTAGATGTTTTATCATATTTAGAAGTATATTGTTATGACAATATCATGTTCTTCCAATTGAACATCGATTATTTTCTAATTAATTATCGAATTAATTATCGATAATTCAAAATAATGCAATTTGGGTCGAACGAGTCAGAAAGTTAAGAATCAGTTTCGTCCTCTGATAGGGAATATAGGGAAATATATATACATATATAGTATCTCAACAATTTTTTATAGATTATATATATATTGATCCTAAATCGATTTTCTAGAAAAAAATATTTGCTACTTTTTTCAAACAGCTTCGTTCTAAATTTGTATTGAACAAAGTTTGAAAATATAATATATGCCATATATATCCTATGTATCCTATATACCATATATTTTCTATTTATCCTATATATTCTTTATAAGCCGATGATTATGCGTTTTATGCTTTGAAAGAGTAAATTATCGCTGTCAATAGAAACTCACGGTATCGGAATTATACCAAATCGCATATATATATACATATTATAAGTATTTAGGATATCCAAGATTATCATTAACTATTCAAAGTCTAATAGAAATGGACTTATGGCTTGTATGGAGTATATAACTCCGATCCTGGGCCAAAAATTAGGTGTTTAATTAAAAAGTCAGGAATATTGAAGAGTCACTCGAAAAGAAAAACAGCTACGGCAGCTAGAGTGAAAATCGATAGGAAACGATTTTATCGAAAAAAGAACGAGCTATCTATGATTCGAGAGGAACGAAAGGCGTCCCTCTGCCTGTCGCATGCTTGTGCCCAAAACCAATATGGGACCATTTCAGGAATTTTAATGGTTAATGAGATCTATTAGCTGAAGCGAAGATCGATTTTAATCGATTTTGCAGAGATCGAACGAGTTGTCGATGATTCGAAATGAACTCGAGTTGCGTGTGGCGTTGGGAGAGGCGATCCTCCCCGTGCTAAACAACTGCGCTTCAAACCAACCAACCTATTTGTCGACTTTTCAAGGGGTACAGGGTATCATAAAGTTAAGGAGAAATGCGTTGTCGTTGCATTTGACAGTGGCGTCAGCGTCTCGCACACAACATGGAGGTCAGTTGGCAAACGCCAGTCCTCATCCAGAGCGGGCCGTGCGGCGGGTGGATGGGCGGATGGGTGGGTTTGGTGGGACTGTTGCGATTAGACATAGTTAGTTATTTTGATTAAGATTCGTCCGGTTCGTTATCTGATGCACGTAGCAATATGGTAATTCATTCAATTAGCCGTCCCATAAATGTATTTGGCTTGTCAGTTTTGCCAGTCGCTTGACTTTTGCTACCTAAAAAATGTATTTATTAATTTAGCTAATCAGCGAGCGTTTATTATGTAAAATCCGATTGATTTAATATATATTTTTTTGTTTATATTTTATTTGAATTTTCGTCTTTCTTTTCGCATACAAAGTAGCTTTTGCTCCGGCTCGAGAACTACTATTTAAGCTGAAACCGAAGCCCGGCTCGATGCCTGAAGGTCGCTGCAAATAAAAATTTGCTTTAAGAATTGAAATTGGAATTCGGATTCGGATTCGGACTCGGATTCGCAACTGAATGGATGACAATAACAGTAGTCAGCCATGAGCTGGTCATGTGTCAATTCATGCGCATCATTAGGCACATTTTTAGTGGAGTGTCTACAAGCATTTCCCATTCACATTTCGAGAATCCAACAAATTCGTTAAGTTACCTTCTTCTGATATCACAAAGAAACGTTTTGTTTTGTTCGAGCTTTTTATTTGACTGCTTTGATCTTGGGGCTTAAAGTCTGCTTAAATTTCAGAATTGGGCCAGCCAGACTTATTGGGATCAAATAATTAAATTCAGTATAATGCATATCCTTGACATTGCTTAAGGGCCCATCCTTCGAATTCGTTGATCTTAAGACATCAGATATTGCAATTATCTTGATATTGACTTTTCTTCGATTTATCGATATACTTTGTTTGACTCATACGGACCAGACATTCCTCAAATCTGCATGTTGCCATTTATTCGTCTGATCCTTAGAGACTAGACACTCTTGATATTGCATTTTATTAGAGCTATAGCTATATTTTGCTAGAGCCTTGTCTTCGAGTTATTCCTAATATTTACATATTGCCATTCATGCGATAAATCGATGTGCTTTGCTTGACCATTTCAGTTTTTACTCAAGTCTAAAACATTTAAAGCTAGATGATTTTAAGTGAAGCCATATTATTTAGACTTTATTGGCTGCAATTTAGTTAACTGCAGAAAAAGAATGCCAATCGATACTTCATAATCATTTTGTAGATATTCTTTTATTTATCGATAGGCAGCGATAACTTAACGATAGCTTTACCAAGCCCATGTAGAGGGACTTGTTTATTTACTGATTTATCAATATTTATGGCTTTGCCATTTCCCAAAGTTTCTTCCTTAAAACCAAACGACACGAATTCAGTTATCCGAAAAGAATCATCCTGTTCCCGATATCGATACAGATTACAGTACATTATTCAAGATAACAAAATAACCAGCCCATGAGTGTAGGGCTTTTAGTTTTCAGACAATCTAATCAATTTTGTTATGCGAAAGCAAATATTTTGGATTATCAGTATTCGATATTGATTTATGTTATTATATTAACTATTTGTCTTTTTCTAAGCATGTTGTTACATCAGAAACTTACTGAATATGGTAAATAGGGTGTATTAGTTTTGTGCAAATATTTATATATGTACTCTTGACGGTGTCGGTCCATCTGTTCACAGACTACAGAGACAAGTTATCGATAACTTTCCATGAAATCGATATCAAGCTCCAGATATCGAGTTAGGGTTTCACCAAATTTGACAAGTATCTTTTGATGTGGTAGCACAGATGAAGCATATTGCAACTCTTGGGGTTTCGGATTTACGCACAATCCAGAATGCCAGATAAATGCAATGCAAATTTGCAAATGATCGGACAATAGGCACCGAGGTTATTCGAGAACACACAGCACAGCTGCAGCTGGGCATAGAGGAGGTCTTTGCTGGCTTTGATTAAATGATGCCAGATATAAAAAAATGCCTGAGTTCTCTTGCAAGTCCATTTCGGGAGAGATTTAACCGTCTCTCCCCGTCTCGCTCTGTCCGCTGTCTCCTGTCTTGGGCCACAGTTGTGGAGCAACAATCACTTGGCCCAAATTGATGAGCTCATTCATGCGCTCTGATTGCCGACTCGCTCAGCGGGACCAATGAGGCCGGGCCCAGAGCCAGCCGGGTGACTTTGGCCAGCTGGAGTCGGCGGCGGCTCATTGGCCAATTAGCATTAACAAATGATGGCTAGTTGGTGTAATTACGGCCATAATGCATATATCCAGTGCGCCAGTATGCGACGCGATCTGTGGGGGGCGTTAGCACGTGGGCGTGGCATGCAAGGCGCGTTCTCGAAATGAGCAGCTTTTTGTTGTTGCTGCGTTTCTCCTCTGACTATTAACTGCACTTGGCCTGCGACTGCGGGGTACGTTTAATTAATTGCCAAGCAGCGCGGTAACGATGGCTAGAGAGAGAGAGGGGGGGCGTGGGGAGTGGGATTGGGGCGTGGCGTGCCCAGACAGCGCCCACTTCCTGCGTCGCCATTTTAAAATGTAATTATTAATTTGATTTGATTCAATTTGATTAGCCAACGCGCGATGGCAGATAGTCCCGAGTCTCCCCGCGCCCCAACATGGGCGCCCACAGCTGTGGGTGGGGCGTGGCGTGTGGGTGGGTGTTGGGATCGGTTCGGGCAAGGGGTTAGCGCGGAGCACGCTTCAGCTGTGTCGTTGCCAAAGCTCATTAATCATTTTGCGGCGCGAGCTGCAAGAAATGAAAAACGCTTGCAACGTGCGGCAACGTCATGTTGAAGGGGTGACGGGGACGGGGACGGGGGCGGGTGTGTGTTGGGGCACATCAACAACAGAGTCACATGGCCATGCTCCCTCCGCTTTTCTTTTTGGCTGCTTTTGCTCATTTCATGCCGGAAATGAAGAAACTGTCATAAAACGATCGAAATCATTTATCATGCGATTTTTCGGCTTGGCGCCGCCATTTTGTTTCGTCTTTTGCGGCTGCTGCTGCTGTTGCTTCTTCTTCTTCTGCAACTGTGCTTTTGCTGTTATTCGTAATGAATTTGAAATGAGCTGAAGGAGTTGACAGCAGCAGCAGCAGCAGCAGTAGCAGCAGCAGAAGCAGAGGCACTTCCGGCTCGTGAACGACGTCTGACAGATGATGAATCGCTGCTGGCAAATAGATTTGATTTCAATTTGAAAAGTATTTCCGTCTCGTAATGAGGTTTTTGGGTCAATGGTGGGGTACAAAACGGACGGAAATCAAGTTATGCTATACTAGAATAATTACACAAGAAAGTTCTCTAATCAGTTAACACTGACTAGGTATAAAATAACGGAAAAGTTTACGGATGCGACATAAAGAAGAATTAAATACGTGAACTTTGAGTTCAAGAATCAGTCAACAGACATTTACGGAAGCAATATAAAAGGGAACTTAATTAAAAAGAGCGAAAAAGGGAGAGAGGGGAGAGAGGATTAAATAAGTACAAGTACAAGCATAATTAATTAAGCAAAAGTTTGCGCGTACGCATATGTTTTAAAGGAATTAAGTCCCTTTCATTACTAAGCAAAACGTTTACGAATGCAGCACAAAGCAGAATGGAAAAAGCAAGAGGAACAAATGTCAGCGAGAGAGAGAGCGAGAGAGAGAACAGTGAGTAGGAACATGAATGAATGACATGCATGAATTGATTGAATGGCAAACTGAGATTCAATCAAATCCTTTGCTGTAACTCGAATTGCATGTTAGCCCTGGGGTTATTCGCAATGCTTGAGTGTGTGCAGGCGAATGCCCGTCTTATTTTGTTTTTTTTTATTCAATTCAATTGAGGTGCTTTTGATTAGCATGCAGCCGGCATTAAACATTTGCCTTTGCCTGCAATTAGGTATTAGCTGCTTGTAAAAAATAGACCCCCAATCAACCCGAAACGGGCGACACACCCTTTTGACTTTAACATGGGCATGTCGTACAGCTACATATTCTCAACTTCTTGCTGACACGCCCCCAACCCCTCGTGCAATGCTTGTAGTTGCCTTAATTTTTATGACTTAAGTGGCCCGCGCGTCCTGTCTGTGGGGTGGGGTAGGGGGCGTTGTCGGGGTCGGAGTCAGGGGCTGTGTTTTTTTTTTTTTTGGGGGTGTGCAACTGTTAGATTGCTCGGCTGTAAACGAACTTAATATGCCACGGAATGTGTCTGTGGCATGCATGCGGCTCGTTTTCGCTGTGATTTTGTATGCCTTTGCAAATTGCCATGCTGCCATGCAGTTTGAGGTTAGGGCAGTTCGTTCGTTTTGCGGCGTTGCCAAATTGCAGAGCAATAGCAATGCAGCACACGCCTGCAAGATGGTGCCACATTGCACTTGGCACTTGGCGCACGGTGGGCGCAATAATCATAATAAATTTCAATTATCCTTTTTGCAGCACAAATCACAAAATACCGCCCTTACCCCCCCGCCCACCCCATCGCACACAGACACACACACACACGTCCCGCTCGACGGCAAGCATAACATGAATTATGTGCGCACACACACACACACACACACACACACATGCACAGAGAGAGCGACTGTTATTATTAAGTCATTTGAATGCACTTTGTGTGCATGCCAGACTGCCTCACAAAACGCACTCACACACACACACTCGCACACACTCGCACACACTCGCACACAATCATTGAAATGTGGCAACGCTGCGCCCTTTGGCTGTGCAAACGTTTTGTTTGGCGTTTGCCGTTTGTCGCTTTGCTTTTAATGTCTCTATTATTGTTGTGTATTTGGTGTTGTTATTGAGTTATTAACACACACACACACACACACACTCGCACACACGCACACACACTCGCACTGACCGTCGCGTCGCGTCGTTTAAAACAAACGAGTTCTTTGTCGCTTTGCCCAAGCGTTGCGGCAAAACGTTACAGCGCCTTGCGCATAATTAGATACACTTAACAGCGAAATGAACGAAACCATTCATTAGGGGCGTGCCCCAGTTGCAACAAGCGGTGTTAGTTCTTAAGGGAGCGTGCGCCCATTAGGCGCTCGCTTGCTCTAAGGATATGTGTGCGTGCCTGTGTGTGTGTGTGTGTGTGTCTGTGTGTGTGTGTTTACAAAGTGGCAACAATCGGCGCGAGTGTGTATTCATTTTGTGCATGAATAACTTAAGTCAAGCTATGTAGCGAATAATTTCAATAAATTTATGTTTATTCAACAAGCGCTATTTAAGTTGATATCGAATGCGCTCAAAGTGATTACTTGGTTTGATAGGGATCGCTTCAGAGGCATAATACAATGAAAGCTTGCTCAAACAAACACATTCGTAACACTCAAAACAATCAAATAATTTGATATAGTATTCAAAAAAAGGACAACTCTTATTATCTCTCTTATATTATTATCAATGTAAATCAATCTTTGAACCACTCCAAACGAGAAGCGGAACCAGTTTAAGTCAAAAACAATTTTTAAAAATTTTCAACCCAAGCCATATGCCCGCTCAAGAGGGCATTCGCATCGAAAACAGAATCAAACAATTTGACCCATTCATAAATTCAATCCTTACTAAAATTGAACAATATTTCAAATCGAATGAGACAAGCCGTAAACCAATTCACGTCTTTTTAAAGATTCACCGATCCATTTCCATTTTCCTCATACAACAAAAATAAGCTTAAATAAATTATAAAGAAAAAAAGATCAGAAACTAAAAGAAAAAACGTAATAAATTCGAAAAATATTTTCTAAAATTTCGAAAAGTTTTCAAATGTACCAAAATATTTTTGACAGCGCCTTCAAATTTGAATGAAAGCAAATGAAAAAAAGCATAAAAATAAAGAAAATATTTTTAAAGTATTCGAAAAATGTTCACGTGCAACAAATTATTTTTGAGTAAAGTAGCAGCAAAACATGCATCTCGAATATGTGTACATTCTGTGCCAAGTTCAGCTCTATGCAGCTGACCCGTGCTGTTTTATTTTGTTTTTTTTTTGGGGCCAGTCTGAAAGCGTCTCGAAACGCAACACCTTTTTGGCTTTTGTCGGCTTTTGTGCGATTCTCTTGGCCCGATCGCAGTTAATTTGATAAATTGCCAAGCTCTTGCATGCAGTTCGGACTCTGTGTGTGCCACGCCCCCTGTTTGGGCATATAGAAAACTATGCGAGGCCAGGAAAGGGTCCAAATAGAAGCGTAATTAAATTGTTTTGTATTGCAAATGGGAACTGCCAGCCAGGATGTGGTAAATGTGTTAAAGGGCGCCACCAGGGCAGGGTGCTGGATTAGGGGAGGGCAGGGCTATCGGAGGATTGGGGGGGACATGTGCTCTCGGTGTGGCCATGGATACATTCTATCAGGGACCGCTGGGCGCATGTAATTGAAATATATGATTATGAATATTTATGCATTTTATGTGTATTTTCTCTAATTGTATTTGCATCTGTATTGTGTGTGCGAGTGTGTGCGAGTGTGTGTGTGTGTGCTGTATAATGCCTTTTAAGTTAATTTAAATAATTTACCAACACTTGATTAGGGCGCCGTTTAGTGGGATAACAAAGCGTTTGGCATTAGTTTCAAGCGAAAAGGGTTCACAAAACGGGCCACAAAATAAAATACAAAAACTGAGAGCGAGCCTTTCCCTCTGCCCTGTGTCCCTCTGGGCATTTGTTGGCTTTAGTTTTGGCTTGAACAACCGCAATTAGTTTCAATAATAAGCCCGAACAAAAATTCGTTCCACATGTTGCAGGCTTTCCCGGAGACGGCGATGACGACAGCAGCGCCGCGAAACGTCGACGCTCGCGCACAAACTTCAACTCGTGGCAGCTGGAGGAACTGGAGCGCGCCTTCTCCGCCAGCCATTATCCGGACATATTCATGCGCGAGGCCCTGGCCATGCGTCTGGATCTCAAGGAGTCGCGAGTTGCGGTGAGTTCAGTTGCAATCGCTCGAGCGACTGCCTCTGCTTCTTTGGCTCGCCAGCTCGCCTATTGGTTGGCCACGTTTTGGCCATCTTTGCTGAGATTATACGCTTTGTTCCAGATAGGTATGGTTCCAGAATCGACGTGCCAAGGTGCGTAAGCGCGAACACACCAAAAAGGGTCCCGGACGACCCGCACACAATGCACAGCCGCAGACCTGCAGCGGCGAACCGATTCCTCCCAACGAGCTGAAGGCCAAGGAGCGGTAAGTTTTTATAGACCTCTTTCCTCAAATAGGCCTTCAGGCTGCAATATAGGCAAATATCCGGTAGTTGCGCCTGGCCAAATATAATTAGCTTTAGCTGTGCACAAAATGCCAATAAACAGGCTTGCCAAGAAAAATAGCTAAAACAGTTCAAAATGTGTAATGCTTCCCTTCAAATTTAGCTAGAAAACTTGAGCTAAGCCACTTGACAATTTTAATTGTTTTAGCTCCAAAGTTTGTAAACGAGCTGCCAAAAAAATAGCTAAATGTAGCTAGAAATCTTGTCATTGGGTTAAAAAAAGAACTAAACCAGATTAAGGCTTCAAATATTAACAGCCCAATTTAGATTATTCGGATACATAGATAATTGCAGAAAATTCTTGAAAATGGGCAAAATCTTATCAAATTGGAAAAACTAGTTCATATACTTATTTCTGTAGAAAGAATCGGAGGTATTAGGTATAGAAAATCAGACTGAAAGTAGATTGAAAACAGGAAAGGTGCAGCTCTCTAGACATTTCTGGAACTACCTTGAATGGCAATCCTAACATATTGTTTGGTCTGTGCTCCGATATTTGCAGAGCGCGACGGCGCAAGAAGCTGGCCAAGGCAATCGATAGGCAGGCGCGCAAGCTGCAGGCGAAGGGCATCACCGTTGACCTGGAGGCGCTCAAGGCCGAATACATATCACAGCACAAGGCGAACGGCACGTTCTCCGACTCCGATCTGGAGGACGATGGCATACAGATCGATGTGGTGGGCGGCACCGACAGCGACGACGAGCTGGACAGCGATGCGGTCAGTCCACCACGCATGGGCGCCGGCCATCACGGTCTGTCCCACTGCGGCGGCATACTGGATGCGGACGGGGACAGTTCACGTGCCGGCAGCTATATTGGCGGCGGCGGCAGCCTGGGCAGCCCCAGCTCCGTAGCGCCACCGACGCTGCACAACAGCAGCAATGGGGCAGCCGGTGCAGGTGGTGCAGGCGGCGCTGCTGCTGGGGTTGGCTATATGCATGCGGAGCAGTCGGACGCTGGCGATGCGGAGGAACGGGACTCGTTGTCGGCGCAGGAATCGGCCTCGCCCAAATCGCTGCTCTTTCCAGCCAAGGCATTCCATCAACTCAACCTGCAGAGCACACAGCATCACAGCTCGGCGGCGGCAGCGGTCGCCGCGGCGGCCAATCTTGTCCACCAGACCTCGCCCATCAGCATGCGGCGCAGCAATCCGTTCAGCATCGAATCCCTGCTCTTCAACAACACGTGAGGCAGTCCAGCTCATCAAATACAGTTGGATTTTGATCTGGATGTGAGCTGGGTCGGGGTCTGGCTCTGGACTGGGTCTGGTGTTTGGGCTCGCTTCAACCTAACCTGAAAGGTCTGCTGGGAGCTGTTTGGCCCAGGGTTGGGTTGTCTTTAACTATAATTTCCTTGTCATTTGAATTATGAGTTCCTAAATGTTTTTGCTCATTTTGTGTTTGTTTTTTTTTTCTTTCTCATTGTTTTCTTTTCGGCTCTTATCCTTAATCTAATTATAATCTATCGTCATTTAAAAGGGTTTTCTTTGACTTTTTCCCACTGGCTTTTACTATTAGCTTATACTTTTCACACATTATTCCAGTTCTGGGCTCCGAGCTTAAATCTAGCTAAGTGATTTTATTTATTCCATTTTTTTTTTTTTTTTTAATTGTTCCAAGAGAGACTAAAATTAGCTTCGTAGTGCGCAGTTTATATTATTTTTAAGATATGCTTAAAACAATTTTTTTTAAACAATTTTTTTCTCCCAATTTTGTCGTGTGGCTAAGCAATGCTTATAAGAAATGGTAATATTAACGATAAATATGATATATATATACATATATATATATATATATATAATAAATAAGAGAATAAGTTTTTTTTTGCTGCCTGAGTGTGTGTGTGTGTGTGCGTGTGCATGTGCGCGTGCGTGTCTGTAAAAATGTAATTTAAACTAGCAAAAAAATAAAACAGAAAAAACAGATAAAAATATAAAGAAATATGAGTAAATTTTTTTTTGTCCTGTTCAAACGACTTTGCTGTAAAAATCAACAGAAAGTGCACAGAAAGTGAGCAAGAAGAAGCAGTACATATTAAACATAACACATATGAGACACACAGAATATTACAAATAGAATGCAAAGTACATATATTGTATTTAAAAATAAATTAACAAAAATATTGTCCAACAAAAATACAAAGCAAAAACATATTGTAAAAACAAGCAAAAACAAAAAAAAAAAACGACACTAAAATAATGTTTTTTTTTTTGTGGTCATATAAAATTGGCGAAGAATTCAATAAAATAAAATGAAAACAATATAAAACGGCATGAAAAATACGCATAAATGAAGCAAACGTGTTTTTTTTTATCGGAAGCGAATGTGCAGTTAATGGACTCGCGGCTTTTATGCAGCGTATTAAAAATCGGTTTGTCACTCGGCACATAAAAATATGGCAGAAACAAATCAATTGCCAGCTGTAAAAAATACAAATACAAAGCGAGAAATGTTCTGCGATGTCGCACCAATAGATGCACATGAATCCGAAGCTGATGGCGCGGGCTGGAGAGAGTTTTATACTCTTATTAGTGCCGGATACACCAAGGATAGAGAGAGAGAGAGAGAGAGAGAAGCAAGCAGCTCAGACTTTCCTGGTGCACTCATAAACTTATTTGGAAAGGATATCAAGAAGACGAATGCTTATCGATTTTTGCGTATATCGATATTCATCGTTATTTATGCTTTGCCTGGCGCTTAAGGCTTACATATACTCAGTGTGCCTCTAATCTGACCACAGGGTATTTTCTGGCCAAGTTCATTGAACGAGAGTGTTCCCCGTTTCTATATCCCGGATGGAAGTAGTACAATATTCAAGACAGGTGTTGCACATTAAATGATACGAAGAGTATTTATTTGATAGGCAAAGTAAGTTCGAGGTAAGAGAGTAAAAAGAAGTCTAAACTAATTTTAAAAATAAGAATAATGCTGCCAGATTTCGATGTCGAATTGATCTAGAACCAAGCCATGAACAAAGAGGCACACCTTGTAAAAATCGGTTGAATTTTGACCGATACATATACATATATAGATGGTTGTTGTTTGTGTGGGTGTGTATGTATGCGTGTGTGTGTTAGTGTGTATGTATATATGTATGCATGTATGTTTGCTTTCAAGTACCAAGCGCAGACCACGCTTATTTGTCGCTGTGCTAAGTTTGTAAACTTAAATTTTACGAATTTCTACCAAGTGCTCTACTCCTCGATTCTCAAGAATTCAAGTAGACTCTGCAGTTTTTCATGCTTCGCAGCAGTGTAGTGCCTTTTTTTTTATTTTTGGTTTTTTTGTATACATGTATGTACATTTATATGTATATAGGTATGTATGTATATATGCATGCATGTATGAATGCATGTATGCATGCATGTGTGTGTGTATGTATCATTGTATGTGTGTATGTATATGTGTTTGTATGTATGTATACATGCATGTATACATGTATGCATGTTTGCATGTATGCATGCATGTGTGTATGCATGTATGTATGCATGTATATATGCATGTATGTATGTATGTATGTATGTATTTACGTATACATGCATACATGTGCGCATGCATGCGTGCTTGCATATGTACAAAACAAACATGTGTACATGTATGTACAAACAGGCATACATATACATGTGTAAACTTAAAACTTCGCGAAAAAAAATCGTTGAATCGTAGTTACCACCAAGGAAGCTTTGATTTTGCGAAAAATGTGAAACACGTCTCAAATGATTGAGGAGGATTGGATTTTTCGAAAATTGTGAAACACCCCTCAAATAAATGTTAAAAAAGATCCTTGAAAATGAGTTCCAGGCCGATCGGATGGTACACAAAAAAGATTCATACAAACGTTTTTCGCTATTTTCTCCACAATTGCGGGTGGAATTTCCCGAAACTCCGTCTTAACGTGCACCTTCAACACATAAGGTAACTATAGTGAATTTTGCAGTCAGTATGTACATATATATATATAATAGTAGAAGCTAGTATGTATGTATATATATTTTAAGATAGGGTACCAATAAATTGTGGAAAGGGTATGAGGAAGCGTGGGGGGAAGATAACTATCTGTTAAAGTATTTCAGCTTTTGGCGTTCAGAGGATTGTTGTAGCGGCAAAATTAAAAAAAGCGTTTTTAATTAGCGCCTTACTATGCGCTTCTCATGAATTCAATAAATACTTCGATTTTATGGCTATCTAATAAACTTTTTTTCTGTAATACTCCTATTCTAATATGGACTCTTGCACTGTCTCTTGCTCTCCCTCTCTCTCTCTCTCTCTCTCTCTCTCTCTCTCTCTTCTTTATTTAGTTTTTCTTATATCTGTCTCTGTCCTACTAATAGATAATAATCAGATCTCAATATTGGATATATGTATAGCCAAATGTGTAGTCGAACAGTTAAAGACAGGCAGACAGAGAGAGAGAGAGGAAGTTAGTTGCAGACAGATGACGAAAATCAAATAGAGAATAAAGCTAAAGCTAATTGACGGCAGCTGATCAACAGGCTAATCCCCCCACAGTCCGGTTGCCACAGTTAAAAATCTCCATCACGGCGATTACAGGCGACTTTGCATGCCACAAAATGTGTCAATTGAATTTGCATTTAGTTTTTGGGGGCACAAGTTGCGGTACGCTACAATTAACCGTTTAAACTTTAAGCTTGGTAAGTTTGTTGTTGTTGTTGTTGTTGTTGCTGTTGATGTTGCTGTTGCCACTGCTGCTGCACAGCGTGACGTCGATGTCGACGTCAACGTCGACTGCGGCCGCTTTCATGGGAATTTGTGGAGTTCATTTCATGGCAATTTTATTGCTTATTAATTTTTCAGTGTTCGCGCTTTGATTGTTGTTGTTGTTGTTGTTGTTGTTGCTGCTGCTGCTGCATGCTGTTAATGATTCCGCGTGTTGCTGCCACACACAACCCCCTCCCCGCCCTGCCCCCCTGCTCCAAACACTGTTCGCGTCTGTAGATGCTGCCCCTGTTGATATGATTATTACGTTTATGTATTTTAATAATTGTGCATGATTTGAAAGATTTTCTCTCCCAATGTGTGTGCCTCTCTCTCTAAGTGTGTGTGTGTGTGTGTGTGTGTGTGTGCTGCCCGATCTTAAGTTTGAGCTCCGCTCGAGCTCCACTCCATGCGATCCTCCAGTTTGGTTTCGGGTCTTTTTGTGGTCGTGTGCCCCCGTCGCGCGTCCATAACTTTTGTGGCTCAATTACTTTTCGATGCAAATCAAATTGGTCGCCTTTTAACTATTCTTCACACGTTTTTCATTAAATATTTTCCACCTTAAACTCTTTGCCATGCAACAAACAAGAAAGAAAACAAAAATACTCTGCTTTGCCTCATAATTTTACGGATTCACCTTTTCCTCTATCTGCATCTGCTTTGCCCGTGTATCTGAGCATTGTAAATGAGTTTTTATCGAGCTGAATAGTTATTTTTGTTTGCCCCTTTTTTTGTTCATGATTTGTTGTTTATTGGCCTCATAGCTGACGGCTCGGGCACACTCGACAGATCCGATGTGCTACCTACTTATAATATCATAAAACTTACAAGCTCTTTCAGCCAATTAAGTTCTTCCAACTGTCGGATGGGTTTCATATGTTGGAATTTATTTGGATATTACCTAAAGATTTCAGTTATCATCCATTTTCCTAATGTATGTTCCATCTGAGAGCTCCTGATTTATATAACACACTGTTTTAGTTTTTATTGTAGTTCAGTTTATTTCATATTATTATCGGTGTAATAGGTTCTGGTATCTATTAAATAAATATTATATATATATGTTTCAATTCTAAGCTGTAAATAAGGTATCTAAGTTCTCATAAGCCTTACATTAGGCAGATATTAGGCTGTCATATACCCTACTTGAGCTTAAGCACATGATCACAAATGAACAATAATATGTCAATTGCAATATTTATAGGGTATCGCAGTCACGCGACAATCGTGCAGCTGCTGCCCTTTCGTGTCTCGTGTCACAAACGGCTCATATAAATCGATATGCCGGAGCCGAAATGCTGTGCACCCTACGTTATAGCGCTTAATCGAAATCAATAAAGTTATTAAAACGACGCTTTTAAGTTTTCTGTAACAGATTCTTAAGCCAACAACTGAATAACAGCGCAGCAACAATGCGGATTAACGCTTCATCATAAACAGCAACAACAACAACAACAACAACAGCAACAACAACAACAACAACAACAATAACAATAACAAGAACAACAACAACTGATTGTCATAATTATGGGGCATTTTGGTGTTTGCCGCTCTCTTGAGCCACAACCTTTAAGACTTTTGTTATATTTTTGTTTTTTATTTTTCAGCATATACCCTGTACATATTGAAAGGGGGCATCATGAAATTGTGCAAGTGTATGTAACAAGCTTAGGTATATAACACAGTGAAAACTCGCTTTTCTCTCAAATCATTATGAATCAGGCCAAGCCCCTTCGCCTGACACACACCCCTCTTGAGCGGACAAAAGTTAGCCGAGGTTCACTGTCCGCTCAAGAGAGATTTCACTGTATTATTGTTGCGTGCTAAAAGTTGAGCCGCTAAATTTATAGGATTTTACAACCATTAACAGATAAAGTTCATTAACAAATGATTTAATCGATAAATTTATCGATATTTATGGCTGTATTTTATAAGCATATTTGAGATAAAAAGAGCAAAGAATGGACCGCATAAAAGAGTACAAAGTTCATATAGTTCTATGGGAAGAAACGGTCGAAGGATTCATTATAG